ACATGCCTAAATGGCATTGAGTTGCAGCCATGTGATTGGCTGAAAATTTGTGTTAACAGGTAGTTGGGCAGGTGTACCTAATAAAGTGAGTGAGTGTAACTATTCACACATTTGTTATACGCATGGAAGCAGCGTTTTGAAATTAATTGCTTTAGAGCTAAAATGGAAGTCATTTATTTGTGCATGGCAGCAACCATTAACACTCCTATTATGATCAACGAGGCATAGACGCAGTGTAAATAAAAGATTCCTCACAGTGTAAACTGCTGATGATAATGAAGTAATTATATTGAAGGTTTTGTGGGAATCCAGACCTCGATAATGGCTCTGAACTAAAGACTAGAATAGATTTCTCCCTGATTTGCAGGCTGATTTAATCAGTCCTGCAGTAAGTCAGAGTTATAGCCTGCAGAGTTTGACTGATTTTACACACAATCTTGGAGTGTATGGTGAAATTTTATGCAGTCTAAAGATATCAAAGGTTTTTAATTATATTGTTTGGTCTTTCAATTAATTGCACTGAAAAAAGTGTTGCATGCAGAACTGTTGCAAACAATTAATTTATGTTGAATTTAAACAAACAAATTAAGTTTAATAATGTTCAACTTAATTTGTTTGTTTAAATTCAGCCCAAATAAATTGTTTACAACCACTTAACGTAAAAAAAATTGAGTAAATCCAAGGCATTATCTTTGAATATTTTTTTTCAGTGTGGTCTTTGGAATCTTTTTTAGTGTTTGGTCCTCTGTCCTTATACAATGTAAAAAAATCTTCTTAAGTCATCTCAAGTAACAATCAAACACACTAAAAATATTAAGTTAAACTTTGTATGACTTAAAAAGATTAGTAAAAATTAAGGTAATTAAGTTACCTATGATTAAAATCAACTTTTGTAAGCTGTTTGGACTGAGCTGTTCATAGGTATAGTGTGTCCACAGTCATATTGGATTGTTAGAAACTCAACAAGTCTTTTTTTTTTTTTTTTTTTGACATTAAAATAGGTTCCAAATCCCTGCAGTTTGGAGGCCCACTACAATAGCCCCTTTCACACAGTGATACCGGTAAATATCCGGAAAATTTACGGAACGACTTTACCGGTATATTCAAAAAAGCGCTGTTCACACAGGCGAGGACGTTACGGAAATTTTCCGGAAAAGAGCATTCACACATCCATTCCAAAATACCGGTAAATTCTGACATCCTTCACCACAAATGAGCTTTAAACGGCTGCGCTTGTATTTGTAAACATTTGACTAAATTACAAACTCTTTTGATGATCAATATCGTAAACAACTTTCACAGGATCATGTTCGCATGTCGAGATGTTCATAATATGTGCGTGTGCTGGCGCTCACAGGCTGTTTCACAGGCACACGCAAAGCTTGAAGGTAAACAAACAACGGCTTATCATAAGCATCTCATCGATGATTATTTACACATTTGGCATTAAGAAGAACATATAACCGTGATCTGACTAACTTCTAGCAGCTAAATGCGTCTGGAAAAATATTCAAAGGCTTTTATTCTCACAAACCGCGCGGACGTAAATGCGTCTGACTGTTGTGATTGGCTAAAGCAGAAGTCTTACGTCAGCACGTTCTAGACGTGCACGCGCTTATTCCGGAAATATTCCTTCTGCGTTCACACAGCGCAGCATTCCGGCAAATTGCCGGTAATGTTACAACTTCTCTTTCCGGAAAATAGCCAGAACGAATTTACCGGTATTTTCAAAAAGGACCTGTTCACACATACCAGAAAATTGCCGGTAATTTTCCGGAAAGGTCTGTATGTGTGAAAGGGGCTAATGTGACTCATGAGTGCATTTTCCTCGTCCATCTAATTGATTGACAGACGCATATTAACATGTCTTCATAGTAACGAGTAGATTATCATATCCACAAGACAGGACGTGTGCAAAGCAACTAGGATTAAAAGATCTGTTCAGCGTTCTGTGATTAGCTGCACCTCAAGAATGAATTTTACAAGTTTAAAATGTTTTTAAATTTAAAATGCACGTTTGTAATAAAGACAGTAAAATAGCTTCGTAATTCAACACCACAGCTGCATGTCAGTACAATTATTAAAGCAGACGCTTTAATGGCGGTTTGTGGACTTAAATCAGGTTTATTTTGTGCATTAACATAACGGATATCCATACAGCAGTGTATATTAATGTGTATTCGGTCACTCATCGTCTTAAATGAACTCCACAACAAATACGTCAAATAACTGTTGGTAAAAAGTTCTTCTGAAGTAAGGGAGATCTGCTTCATTCTTGTCTGTCACTGTGCTGTTTATCTACATGAAGGCTACACGCATCAGAGCAATACAGAGAGATTCCCATGGCTCTGACACGCATGTGGGAATCGTGGGCGAGGAGAACTACAGTAGCTCATTTCCATTAAAGGCACAGGCAACAAAAACTGCTACAATACCCTAACAGCTCAAATTTCCCTTATTCAGAAAGGTATAATAAATAATCTGATGGGAATTGTGAGCTGAAACTTTACAGACACATTCTGGAGACACAAAAGACTTAAATTAAATTTTGAAAAGGGGGTAAAATAGGCACCTTCAAAGCAACATTGTTGACTTTGTCATATAATTTTTACAGTGTAAGTGCAGTCAGAGCAAAAAAAGTGCATTGTCCAATATTATTGACATGTATGAAGTTTACACAGTATTTACTTTGGACACATTTACTGTAGATGTACTGCTTTAATTTCAACTTTTTTCACCTTTAATGTAGCACAAAGTGGAAAATGACACGCTAATGTGTACATAGGAATACAAACATGGATTGCAATATTCTTAGATCAGTTTCAGGCTTCATTCATGTTTGGAAATAACCAGCATGGTGGTGGTTGTTGCTTGTGTTTTGTTTTTTCAAATGTCCATGTTAACAGATTAGAACATTCACACTACCGTGATCGTGTCTCGCCACAGAATCTATTTTTGCTGCAAGGCTCACACTGAATTCAAGTCACAGTGTGTCTAATGATCACATGAATTCACTTAAAAAAAGATACAGTAATTTAAGTAAAGAATACAGTCACAATGCTCCACTGGAAAAAAAGGTGGTTTGCCATCTCCAGATTGGAGGAAAGTCCTTACCTCAGGTGGAGAAGTTCAAGTATCTTAGGGTTTTGTTCACGAGTGAGGGAAGGATGGAGCGTGAGATTGACAGGCGGATCGGTGCAGTGGCAGCAGTAATGCGGTTGATGTACCGGTCTGTTGTGGTAGAGAAGGAGCTAAGCCAGAAGGCAAAGCTATTGATTTACCGGTCAATCTACGTTTCTACTCTCCCCTATGGTCATGAGCTTTGGGTCATGACCGAAAGGACAAGATCTCGGATACAAGGGGCCGAAATGAGTTTCATTCACAGTGTGGATGGGCGCACCCTTATAGACAAAGTGAGGACCTCTGTCACCCGGTAGGAGCTCAGAGTAGAGCCACTACTCCTCCACATCGGTTTCGGATGCCTCCAGGACGCCTACCTAGGGAGGTCTTCCAGGCATGTCCCACCGGGAGGAGGCTTCGAGGAAAACCCAGGACACGCTGGAGGGACTACGTCTCTCGGCTGGTCTGGGAACGCCTTGGCAATCCCCCCGGAGGAGCTGCAGGAAGTGTCTCTCGAGTTTGTTTGTTTCTGAAAGGATCGGATATCAGAAGCACTTCAATAATCAAGTGCACATTATTATCAGCTCAAGAAGTTCGTTATTTCAAATGAATACGCGATCGAGAACTCTCTGGAGAAAGTGAAACCACTCTCACTTTTAGACGGGCTCGTAAAACAAAAACAGGGCACTAGAGATTTTGTATTTGGCTTTGTGGCTGTTCATCAAGATGACAAGATTTGTTTGAGCTCGGTTCGACCATGGCTTGTTATTATATGTATATAATGTTAGGGTGTGATGTCTCGGCTGTGTATTTAAAAATGGCGGTTTCTTTTTTTTATTCTCCTGCTTCTGCTAATGACGTATCTCTGTAAACCAACAGCTTTCAGCTGTGCGTCTTGTTCCGCCTTTCTGTAACCTTTTTTATGCTAGGTACGCTTTGCAAAGGGTGACCAAAAAGTAGTATGGTATGGTGCGATTTTTAGGTACCCTTTGACAGTGGAAACAGCCATAAAAGCGTACCAAACTTTACCGTACCATAACACTTAGTGGAAATGGGCATGGTACGTTTTGCTTTTTGGTACCATTTGACAGTGGAAACAGACAAAAAAGCTTACCGAACTGTACCATACTTTACCGTACCACTCAGTGGAAATGGGCCAAAATTGGACTAAGTTACAAACACAGCAAGGACAATATTTAACAACAGTTGATGTCATGGTTTTTGGCTTTTCTCTTAATAAATCAAACTCAGTCTGAAGGTTATTAATATCAGAAGAATATACTTTATTGGAAAATTTTACAAAAAAGCAGAGACAGACTGGAGCAGATCCATTTCAGTCTCTCCCCAGGACAAATCCAATGTCCCTCCCGTTTGCTATACCCTTTATCCTTGCTTCCTCCCACCTTTGTGTTTTCACAGCTGTTTACTGGTTCAACAGGCCGCTCCCAGCTCCTACTCCTTTACGACCCCAATTTAAAGTCCCTTCTTGTTGTTGGCCCTCATAATGTAAAGATCTAATGTATTCATCACTGTTTTTACATATATAGTACACACTTGGTACTCATGACTAATATCTGTTTCAAACATCTAAACTGGACTCTTCTCTCCCATACAGTATGTGTCTTTTCAAACATACATGACAGTTTCAACATATGTTGTATACATTTCATGCTTTTCTGACACAGATGGTTCTCATTGTATCCCCAAGCCTCTCTCGTGCTCTTTTATGACCCCTTTGCCTTAACCTGTCACCTGTTTTCAAAGACAAATAATGGCAGATTCGTAGGGCCCTCCACTCACCCAATTAAATGTGTCTTCATATAGGTTTAGTAAAAATCTTCATCATGGACTAACGACCTGTTTGTGTTTTCGTTTTGCAGAAAAATGACCGGACACTCTTTCCACATGGGCTACAGTATGGCTATACTCAACGGCATAGTGGCTGCACTCACTCTTATATGGTATCTCATCTGATGCACATCCTACGACACCTCAACTGCCATTTAACACGCAGTCATCAGAAGACGATTTAAGGTTTAATGGCAGAAGGAAATGTCAAATAATTTTACGGATAAAACTACAGATAAAACTGAAAAAAAAAAATCAAGTATGGAATACTAGCTTAAACATTTATTACATTAAATTTTTGTAGGTGTTTAGATACAGAATGAAACTACGTAATGTTTTGTTTTTTTGAGAGAATTTATCATATTTTTTATAAATGCTAATTTTACAAATTCAGTAAACGCACAGTGAATTAATTAATGGACTACATTTAGGGGGGAAAACATTAGCGATGTCAGGGTCTCTTTTTTAGCTACTTATTTTCTCTTCTAAAGGCTTTCATTGCAGAATCCTCTTTTTACCATCACAATAGCAGTGTGTTAAATCTGCTTTTTGCCCTTTTGATGCCATTCATTGTCAGTCTGAAAGCACACGGATGATGTTTAAATCTTTCTAAAAATGGATTTGCATTGTAGAATCTCCTCTCAGCAAAAGACTAAAGTCCCCTTGCATTCGTGCTTTATTAAAACTCAACGTCGCTGCTCTATTGATCGTTTTAATGGGGGAAATCATTAATACAATAGCTGTTTTGGGCTTGATGGAGAGTGACCGTGTTTAAGAGCTTTGTTGAGAGCCTGAGAGAAGGTCAGAGAGTGTAGAAGTGTGGATTTAATTTATGACTTTAATTATTTGATGCAGACTCTGCCAGGCCATGATTATTTTTTTTTTCTTCTTCATTAGATTAGCAGGCCCTGTAGCGACTCATTTCAGCTAGCTCTAATGCACTTGGCCGTCTAGTATATATGGACTATTAATGTACTGCCATTTCTCTATGTGTGTGTGTTTATTTGTATCTGTGGCAACAAGGTCCAATTATTTGTTTTCTTTTACATGACATTTCCATCTCCATTATTAGCACATTTTAAAAACAAAATAAAAAATGAACTTTGTTTGTAGAGATTTTAGCATTTTAAGAATTTATTCAACTCAAACCTGTTGCTTCAACATTATCTGGGTATTTTATCCCTTGTGCATCCTTAAGGAGTTTTTTTTTTTTTTTTTTAAAGGGATAGTTAACCCAAAATTGACAATTCTGACATCAATTGTAGGAGCCATGATCTTTAGCCTCCCTGTTAAACAACCAACTCCCATGTGGAAAGTCACCGGTTCGATCCCAGATCAGAGCGGGTTGGGTGGTATAGGATTGCCGGCGTTACATTGGTGCCTTGACCCGGATAGGAATGAGGTTTAGGGGGGGTGACCTCACTCCTCTGACATATAAAGATGCTCTAGTGACAGTCGCTAGAGGACATGGTCTTAAGCCTCCTTGTTAGAGTAACCGACTCCCATGTGGAAAGTCGCCTGGTTCGATCCCGGCTCGGAGCGGGTTGGGTGGTATAGGACCGGCGTGGTTACATTGGTGCCATGATCTAGATGGCAGTGAGGTTTAGGGGTAATTGTAAATGAGGCCAGTTAGTGAAATGTTGTGTAGGTAAACTTCACTCCTCAGACCTGGAAAGATGCTCTAGTAACAGATGCTAAAGGACATGGTCTTTAGCTTTCTTGTTAGAGCAACCGACTCCCTTGCGAAAAAAAAGCTGGTCCAATCCCAGCTCAGAGCAGGTTGGATGGTATAGGACTGGCAGGGTTAATGAGTGCCATGACCCGGATGGTAGTGAGGTTTAGCAGGTAAGTGTAACGGAGGCCAGTTTGTGAAGTACTGTGCAGGTAAACCTCATGGTCTTTAGCTTCCTTGTTAGAGCAACCGACTCCCATGCGGAAAGTAACGGTTTCGATTCCAGCTCGGAGCAGGTTTGGTGGTATAGAACTGGCGTGGTTACATTGGTGCCTTGACCCAGATGGGAGTGAGTGTAACGGAGGCCAGTTAGTGAAATGCTGTGCAGGTAAACCTCACTCCTCTGACCTCTAAAGATGCTTTAGCGACAGACTCTAGAGGCCATGGTCTTTAGCTTCGTTGTTAGAGCAACCGACTCCCATGCGGAAAGTTGCCGGTTCGATCCCAGTTTAGAGCAGGTTGGGTGGTATAGGACTGGCGGTGTTACATTGGTGCCGTGACCCAGATAGGAGTGAGGTTTAGGGGGTGATCTTACTCCTCCGGCCTCTAAAGATGCTTTAGCAACAGTTGCTAGAGGCCATGGTCTTTAGCCTCCTTGTTAGAGCAACCGACTTCCATGCAGAAAGTCACCGTTTCGATCCCAGTTTAGAGCAGGTTGGGTGGTATAGGACCGGCGGGGTTATGTTAGTGCTGTGACCTGAATCAAAGTGAGGTTTAGCAAGTCAGTGTACTAGAGGCCAGCTAGTGAAGTGCTTTGCAGGTAAACCTCACTTCTCTGACCTCTAAAGGTGCTCTAGAGGCAGGACCTTGGGGTTATGGTCTTTAAACCGCATGTTAGAGCAACAGACTCCCATTTTTCAGGTTTTTTATTTTTAATAAATTTGCAACAATTTCAAAAAATCTTTTTTACATTGTCATTATGAGGTATTGTGTGTAGAATTTGGAGGAAATAATTTAATCCATTTTGGAATAAGGCTGTAACATAAAAAATGTGGAAAAATGAAGCGCTATGAATACTTTCCGGATGCACTGTATCAAGTTTTAATACTTTTTAAGACCCCGCGGACACTCTACATAACGAATCAAAAATGCTAAGCGTTATATTTTATGCAACTTTTTTACTTTATTGACAGTTTTTGTGCTCCTGTGAAACTTCTGTTTAAACCGACACAAAATGGAGATATCTCTGCATGCGGGATCACACGCTGCGTGTTTGTGCTCTTCAGCCTTGCTTTTTTAGTTTTTGCTTTGACTTTGTGAAAGTGTCTCTCTTAATGCTGTTTCTGTTAAGGTGAAGGTCTGTCTGAGATAAACTGTCTCGTATGGTTTCATTTGGTGCGGTGCAACTGTCAGACAATATTCAGCTCTGCCTGAAAACATCTGATTTAGAGGTCGAATGGTTTGCTTGCTTCTTTTCCTGCCATTTAAATAATCAGGGATGAAAAACAACACTGGAATATTCATCGTCTACTCAAGATGTGGAATGTTGCATTAATACCACAAGGAGAATTAATGTTTTCAGAATGTATTTACTTTTTTAAATAAAAAGTTTCTGTATTGATGCTTAATTTTCATTATTTCACTCTAGCATTCTTTCACTCCTGCATTATTTTATATAAAATGAAAAAAAAGTAAGCCTCCACATGCGGTTGCGCGTGTTTCGCTGTTTGAGCGTGTTTTAAAGATCTCAGTTGAAGCCTCAGGGCTGCAGTTCAGAATGCAGAGAGCAGACGTGAGTGTGAGTGCCAGTCGATATGAAAGCATTTGCTATGATGCCTTTTTACTTGTCACCCTCAAGGCCGGTTTTATGAAAGGGCAGCGAGACATGTAATCACTCAGCAGAATAAAATATTAAGCCCACGCCTTTCTGTTTCTGACAAATTGACATCTTATCTGTCAAAGGCTTGTGTTGTGTGTGTGTGTGTGTGTATATGAGAACGAAAAGCTGAAAATACACAATAACAGACGTGCAGTTCACAAAGTAAGTGTATGAAATTTCATCTCTATACTTAAACTTGCAGAACTGCATGAGATCACAAACTATATCTGTCATTACTGATTCACACATAAATGAGGAAGTCTGTGATTTTAGTATGCGAGTCTTTGCTAACAAATGATTGAATTTGTGTACACTGTTAAAGGGATAGTTCACCCAAAAAGCTAACCCAGGCCTAAAGTACTGACTTCATTACTGAAATTTTAAAAACATTCATTTTAAGCTATAAAGGGACTAAGGCGAAAAAAAAAAAGAATTAATTTTATGCTAACATTTAAGCATGTTTTTAAACGCTAATTTACACCACACTGATAAACGCCAACAAACAGGTCTGTCGGATCAATGTGTTACAAATCTTAATGGAGTAAAAGTTTATCTTCTGCATGCATTTTCAAAGTGATAGTTCACCCAAAAATTACTTACCCTTTTCATTGCACCCTTTACTTGTTTCAAACATTGATGAGATTTTTTTTTTTAAGAACACACAAAGAATATAATTTAATCTCTCCTATAGTACTGAAACAAGTGTGAGTAAATAGTGAGTACATTTTAATCTTTGAGTGAACTGTTCCTTTAAGGCCTGTGACTGTGTGAACATATCAGTATTTCAAATTTTAAAACATCTGGCCATAAGAAATGTTTTTTAACTTTAATAAATATTAAATAATATACAATAAAAACTATACAGTATTGATTATTTAGTATCTGTACCTGAATAGTGAATACCTGAAAACTGTCATTCTTTTTTATCGTTACTATATTTTATTTATCTATGCTTGTAATTAATTTGTTATATATTATTTGAGATTCAGTCCCCTACAACCCCCCCCCCCCAACAATCACTCCAAATAAACCTGATATTCACATCGCAATTTACATCACAGAAATACAAAATCTCGTAATGTCAGATTTTTCCAATATCGCACAGCCCTCATTCAAGTTTACAGATATTTGTTAAACTAATTTCCATGACTTTTCCAAAACTTTGAGGGTTTTTCTGTTTCTCCAAAACTTTTCCAGGCCTGGAGAATGCCATATCAAAATTCAATGACTTTTCCAGGTTTTCCATGACCGTATGAACCCTGATCCAGTTTCAAGAACAGAGAGAAACAGTCAAAATCAGGATTTGCAATAAATAACAATACCATTAAATATTTGCATTAATACCCTTGTCATATCCATCCAGAACAGTTAAATATATGGCACACTACCTTGTATGGTGCTTTTGTGTATGTATATATGTATATATATATATATATGTATGTAAATGTATGTATGTATGTGTGTGTATATATATATATATATATATATATGTATATGTATATATATATATATATACATATATATATATATATATACATATATACATATATTAAAGTTAGAATTATTAGCCCCCCTGTTTATTTTTTTTCCCCGATTTCTGTTTAATGGAGAGATTTTTTTTTTTTCAACACATTTCAATATAATAGTTTTAATAACTCATTTCTAATAACTGATTTATTTTATCTTTGCCATGATGACAGTAAATAATACTGATTATTTCTATGTAGCTTAAAGTGACATTTCATGGCTTAACTAGGTTAATTAGGGTAACTAGGCAGGTTAGGGTAATTAGGCAAGTTATTGTATAAAGATTGTTCTGTAGACTATCGAAAAAATGAGCTTAAAGGGGCTAATAATTTTGACCTTAAAAATGGATTTAAAAAAATTAAAAACTGCTTTTATTGCTGCAAAAATTAAAACAAATAAGACTTTCTCCAGAAGAAAAAAATATCAGACACACTGTAAAAATTTCCTTGCTCCGTTAAATCATTTGGCAAATATTTAAAAAAGAAACAAAAATTAAAAGGGGGGCTAATAATTCTTACTTCAACTGTATGTATGTATGTATGTGTGCATATGTGTATGTATGTGTGTGTGTGTGTGTGTGTGTGTGTGTGTGTGTGTGTGTGTGTGTGTGTGTGTGTGTGTGTGTGTGTGTGTGTGTGTGTGTGTATATATATATATATATATATATATATATATATATATATATATATATATATATATATATATATATATAATTTTTTTTATTATTATTATATATTTTATTTTATTTGATATATTTTTTGAAAGCTTAATGCTGGTCACTATTCATTGGCTATTTCATGTCGACAAGAAAGTATATATATTTTTTATAATTATTATTTTATTTCTCCTTTTAGAAATTACAAAACAACAAAAATATTTCTTGGGAACCTCATTTTGTTTTCATTCCTATAGCAAAATCCCAAAAAAACTTTTAAAGATTTTTTTTCCAAAACATTTTATTTATTTATGACAAAGTTCATATTTCACTTTGTTGATTTGCATAATTATGAATATTATTAATAATAAAATCTAAGAGAAAAAATAGAACCATCTTGCTGATAGTATTTCAAATGCTGCAATGTATCATGTTGTCTTTTAATATCCCATCATTTATCTTGCTTTGCATGAGGTGACAAATCCATGCCACATACTAAACCAGCAGATGCTCGTGCAAGTTTGAGTTTGCGAATCCATCAAGGCAGTTAATGGGCCAGCTCCGTGTTTGGCCTTTTCCCCTTCACTTGCTGCTTTCCATCTGTCTTTCTTTACCCACTGATCTGGCGATGGCATTAGACCTGACTTTTGAATGTTCTCGTCTCGGTTGTCTCTTGCTTTGCGTCATGAACTCCCCCATCATCACAAAACCAAACCAAACAGAGAGAAAGAGAGAGAGAGAGAGCATGTTTTTACAGTCAACAATAGCCTAGATTTGGGCCTGCTTTTGGCTTTGTGTTGGATGGGGTTGGACAAGCTGAATGAAAACAGAGATAATGTGTTGTTGCTTAGATACTGGCTAGAATGAGATAAAAATATCTGATGTTAGCCTTGGTCTGATTCCACATGAGGAAGAGCTCTGTGGAATCGATTTTTGGAATCTGTTTTAAGCTGTATATTATTACTTTGCTGTATTAAGAGTCAAACTTTTTATTAACAAAACATTTTTTCCTACAATAGCACACTGTACAAAAATGAAGGCTGTCTTTGGTATTTGCAGGTCAAACATTCCGTGGAGGTCCTCGTTTGCACAAAACTGTCAGTTTATTCGGAAAAATTGGTTATTGCAAGAAATGTTCTGGGAAACTCGATATTGTTTTTTATATGACGCTAATTTCTGTGACGTATTTTAAAAATAAAAGGATAATTCCAATTTTTATCTTATTTTTTTTCTTGCTATTTCAAGTGTTTAAGTTTACATTTTAAGATGTACTTTGTGGGTACAATTGTCAATTCAATTTCACAGCTCTCACATATTTGAGTTGAATTGTCAATATAGTCGCACACTTCTAAGAAAAAAGTTAGCGAGATGTGATTTATTTATTTCTTAAATATCATGTTTACAGCAATAAAAAAAGTGACTTTTGCTTCTTGTTCAAACTACTTATTTAAAATGAGCTGAAACAACACAATTTTTGACATTTGTATTGGGACAACTTGATTGTTTTATGTTCAATACACTTAAATGTATTAGCTTAAAATAGTTATATGACAACTAGGGATGTAACGGTATTGTAAATACCGTCATACCGCAATATATATTTTTTTCGATATTGCCGTAGTCGCATGACTCGGTAAAACTATACAGTAGGTCTTCTGAGAAAATTTGCTCAGGCGAATGAAGCGAACGGGAGGTACCGGAAACTACAATTCCCATCAGCCCAGGCTTGGCCATAATCCCTTGCGGTCTGTTGTCGCTACAGATCCAGTAATGCGGAAATGGAGTGTGCTGCTAGAAGCGGGGATCAAAAAGAGCTGGAAAACCCTAAAGCGGGTGTTGTCGCCGCGCGAGTTCTTATCAGCTGTGTTGTCGCGCGAGTTCTTATCAGCTGTGTTGTCGCGCGCGTACTGAATAGCCGTGTTGTTGCGCAAGTTCTTATCAGCTGTGTAGTCGCGCGAGTTCTTATCAGCTGTGTTGTCGCGCGCGTACTGTAAAGCGGGGATGGAGGGTATGTCGCGTTGCGGGGGCACTTTTGATCATTTTGGAAGGGAACTTTCTATCCAAGACTAAAAAGGGCATGTGCACTGCACAGGTTAAGCACTGTGTGTGCACGTGCCTGCAAGTTGGGGAATACGACTAATATCATGGGGACTGCAGAAACACAGCACACTGTTCAGATTGATGCAGACATGAGACCTCTATCTCACTCATGGCTTGTCCTCTCAAGTGGGGGAAAGACAATGCACAACGTTACCCACTGCTGTCAACCTGGGCCAAGTCATATCTCTCTTGTCCCAGAAACCTCAGTCCCAAATGAGAGGGGTTTTTTTTGCAGGGGACATTGTAAATGCCCAGAGATTCCAGCTTTTACCAGATTATATTTATATGATAATTTTCCTTTAAACCCATCTCTATCTAAGTGAGTGAGTGATTAAATGTTGAATGTGATGAGTTTTCAACAATACTAAATTGAAACTTTATTTTTATATATTTTTATATATAACTTTATATATTGAATTTTTATTTTTATTTTTCCACAAGGGGGTCCTAATAAGCTCTGTGG